TAGTGTTATGTGTAACGAGCACGGTGAACGATTTCGTCACATTTCAACAATGGAGAAAAGTTATCATGGCAGGTAGAGTCCATCCAAACTGGCTGATTATTGTTGAAATTTGACGAGAGATGATACTTCTGCATTTTACAAAAGACAAACTAAGAAGCGACGTGTGCTTGCTGAATAATTGCACATGTATATCATTCTGAATAAAGTTTTCCAGTTGTATTTTATTTAATAAACATATATAATAACATGTTGATGTGTTTGTGTATTGCTCTGGTAGCCGACATAGAAGAGAATTTGTAAAGCAACATTGTTTTTCTTGGAGACATCCATTATACTCATTTGTATGACATAACTGATTAAATATCTCTAAATCTAATTCCAAGCATCTAATTTGAAGGTTATTTTTTAATTCAGCATGCCAAAATGCATAGGGACTGGCACATTTCATTTCTGAAGTTGTCTTGCGAAAAATTGTCGACCAATGTTATTCGTAGTTTCACGCGGTTCTCTTGTCTTAAATATATCCTGTGAGTTTTATATTCTCTAAACACTGTTTTGTCATTATGCCTCCCAGAAATTTCAATTCTCTGTTTGTAAGAGTTCTTTCAATTCCTATTTTCCTTAAGACTTTCTCGTTGCTCACATGTCCTGTCTAGAATATCTCTAGTATATATCTGGAAGATTCTCTCCAGTGCATTTATACTTGCAACTCCTGTGAGTGTCTGTCTCACTGCCGACTTAGTCTTCACACAACCAAGACACTCGTGTAACCAGTCAAAATGCAAATGAACAAAACTAACAAACCCGACCTAAAAAAAACCCAAAGTAGGCCCCATTTATACCATTTCCTACACCAACGTGAGGGGGGCTACGTTATAATTTTCCAGAAGTGGAACATCATCTTTTCCAGACCTCTTGCTACTTTCTGAAAGCGGTATCAACGCTTCAAGGCCACTAGTGGTGTTCATAGCCCCGGGCTACTCCCCGCTTAAAGCTAAACACGACCTCCTAAATCGCCATGGCCATGGATTAGGAGCCTACATTAAGGACGATTTTCTCTGTGGCAGAGACACAAAAAACGAGGAACGTGACCTTCCATATATGCGCTTACGCATGGCACTTTTCCATCGTACCACATTCGTCTTTGCTCTCTATCGACCTCAGAACGAAGAGACTGTAACCTTCGACTGTATATCAGAGAAAATTGATAATATCCTCACTCAATTTCCCTCAGTCAACTTTCATATCTGCGGTGACTAATATCCACCATAAAAAATGGCTAGTCCACTCCAACAAAACCGATTTTGAAGGCAGATATTGCAGAGATATCTCCATAGCCTATGAACCATCTCAGCGGGTCATCAGGCGAACGTTCTCGACCTCTTCCTAACCTCCTGCCCTGATAAATGCTTACCAAAAGTTCTACTGGCACTAGGTACATTAGACCATTCCGTTATCAGTGTACAAATTGATGCCAAACCTAAGGCATCACGTTCCAAAGAACGATTTTTTTTTGCTATGCGAATGCAGACTAGGACAACTTTCGATCCTACATGATAGAAGCTCTCCTTCTCACATTCTTCAAGCATACTGCCTCCCAAACCGCTGCCCTTGTAACGGATTGGATACTTTCTGGAATCGAGAGTTTTTATACCCAGCAAAAAAATTCAGCAACAACCAAACCGCCAACCCTGGTTCACACCTGAATGCGCTGTGGGCATAACCCACCGAAACCAGTACTTCAGTATCTATCACAAGGAGCAATGCAGTCCGGATCTCACTGCATTCAGAACTGCCCACAATCGCTGCAAAAAAAAGTTCCAGAAAACGCCAAGAGTAGCTACGCACGAGCAGTCCAGACCAAGTTTGAAAAGAAGCAAACCCGTGAATTCTGGATGATCACCAACCAAATCATGGAGGTAAAGCGGCTGTGCCCAAATTATAAATGGCCCCGAGGTCATATCCTCCTCTATAGACAAGGCGAATCTTTTTGCTTCTCTAACTCGACATTAGATGACCTCAGTATCACCAGTAAGCTTTTTGAGGACATAATTAATAAGATCTTCGGGTACCTAAAAAAGAACAACTTCTTCAGCGACGAGCATTATGGCTTTCGGTCGGCCCGATCCACTGCCGACGTCCTATCTACCATCACTCAAAGAATCAGTGAGGCTCTTGACCACAAACACACCTCGAGGACCATAGTACTAGATATCTCAAAGGCTTTCGATAAGGTGTGACAAGAAGGTTTACTATACAATCTCTCCAGCAATAGATTCACTGGAAGGGTCTTCTCGATCATAAAATCCTTCGTGGAAGTAATAGCCAGATCAGTGCCCTAGCGATCAACGCAGGCGTCCCACAGGGGTCACACTTTAGACTAATGCTTTTTTGATCTATATAAATGACGTGCCTAAGAATATAGTCAGATCATTTGTAAGCATCTATGCCGAAGATACGACTATATACGTGTGCATCTCTAAAACTCTCGATGGCCAGAGATTGGCGACTAGTCTTTCTTCCGATCTTATACAAACTATCCAATGGGGTAAAAACTGGTTGATTACATTCAATGCCTCGAAGACCAATTTAGTTACGTTCTGTCATTGTCGATCTGACCCCGAACTATCAACAATTAAGATGAACGGAGTCTTGAAACACCGTGTCTTGAAAGATTGTTGTGCCTCTAATTCACATCCGACCTCAAGTGGAACTCGTGCATACGATCCGTTGCAGGTAAAATGGTCGGCTTCCTGTACCACTCCAGTAAGTACCTGACTCCTCTTGCTATCCTCTAACTTTACAAGAGCCAGATCAGGCAAAAATGGAGTACTGTTGTCATATTTGGGCGGAAGCTGCCAAGACCTAATTTTCTAGCCTTGATAGAGTTCAATAGCGTCTCCGAGCCCTTGTGGGTGACGAATTATTGTCCAGCCTCTCTCACAGGCGGGATGTGGCAAGCCTCTCGCTGCACGACCGCTACTTCCACGGAAAGTGCTCGGACGAACGACGTTCCCCGGTCCCGCCAAGGCAAACCTTCACTGTAAGAACACGCCATGCCACTTACATAGTAACAAACCACCCAGGATGCTTCCCCGATCACTACAATGTTAACCTGATGAAGGCTAGGGTTAATCGTTATCTCCCTCACCTATACACACAGATAGCCTCCTAACGTAACCCTCTAACTCGAGTGCCCCCCGGGCCTTGTAAAAGGTGACTCTCACTGTAAAAAATACCTGTCGCTTCAAGTCTCTTCTTCAATTCTGTGCCAATTCCATGCGTGATACACGCTTAGGCGATCATGTATCTTTCCATACATGACTGACGAGGCAGATTTTTCCCGCATCCAAGGCTATAGAACCCGGTCTGTCCTGCTATATACCCATAGCTGGCGGGAGAAGAAGAGGGTTCATACTTTTCCCAAGGGTATCACCACATCAGTACGTTACGTGTCATACGTGATACAAGCATAGGCGATCATGTATCTTTCGATACATGACTGACTAGACAGATTTTTTCCCGCAGTAGGTTACCATTTATTTCTGCGGTAGACCAGTGACCATCGAAGTCTATAGAACCCGGTTTCTTCTTCTATTTACCCATAGCTGGGGGGGGGGAGAAAAAGAGGATTCATACTTTTCCCAACGGTATTTGCACATCAGTCAGTTATGTATTATCTGTGATACACGCTTAGGCGATCATGTATCGAAAGCTACATTACTGACGAGACAGATTTTTCCCCGCAGTAGGTTGCCATTTCTTTCTGCAGTAGACCAGTTACTTTCCAAGGCTATAGTACCCGGTCTGTTCTGCTATTTACTCATAGCTGGGGAGAGACGGAGAGGAATCATACCTTTCCCAAGGGTATTAGTACGTAAGTGAATGTAATGGATTTGACTGGAATTCGAACTCGGCTCTCCGATTCTTCAATCCGAGCCACTATCCATTAATTACATAGCAACTCCATGGTCTTTTCTTTGTTTCTAACAATATTTTTCAGCTGTCAGGCAAAAAGGCGTAAAGAGATTTTAATGAGACTTTCTTGAAAATTCTTTATGGTATGCGGTCATACTAATTTGCTTAATTACTACTCAAAACTGGACGATTCAACCAATTCCCGTCAAGGTTGAAAATGAGTGTAACAGCTTTTTACTTCGCACACTGACCCACTCTCTTTTCCGCCATTCATCGTTTTGCGCTAAAAAAAAGTTTTTTTACCAAGATTTCAGAAAACGGGAAAAAAACGTAGGAAGATTAAAACTCATGCCTTTTCCAAGGGTGTTAGTATTACACGAACATAAGTATCCTCAGGTGAAATTCGATCGATTTCATTTTCCGTGGTGATAAGCGTTATACAACCCAGCAAATCCACCGCTATCTACATACTTATCGATCTATCGATTGAGGAATAGTTTGTTGTTGGAGACAGATCATTTATGACTTTAATAAAAGGTCATTTTAAAAGCAAGCCCAACTTCGAAAGTTTAGAATATTTCCATCTCGAACTGAAGCAAATGAAATTTTAAAATTCCGTGTCAGCCTCGATCTCACAGCAATGTTCCTTGGTGAACTGTCGAATGTATTGGTGGTTGGGGGTCACGACTCTCGAACTACGGAAACAGCGTGGCGTGCAGGGTCACAATGTTTACAAATTTTCTTCAACATCCATGCTTCATTAAGACCTTTCAAGACTCTTCACCCTATTCAGAGCACCAACTGACCTTCCATACATATACAAACAGAAATATATATCAGTCTCTCTCAATATCTCTCTCTTTTTCTCGATATATATATATATATATATATATATATATATATATATATATATATATATATATATATATATATATATATATAAGATTTAGTCCAGTGCCTGTTATAGCAATGAGGTCTATTGGTAAAACTTTTAATATTTTATACAATTTTATATTTGTAGCTCCCAAGAGAACTTGGTAAGTCAACTTTGTAAATAGCTAGGTAGTTGATTGACCCGGTGCTTAGATAGATAGATAGATAGATAGATAGATAGATAGATAGATAGATAGATAGATAGATAGATAAACAGACTCAGATAGATAGATAGATAGATAGATAGATAGATAGATAATAAACAGACTCAGATAGATAGATAGATAGATAGATAGATAGATAGATAGATAGATAGATAGATATGAACAGACTGAGCTAGATAACTCGCTAGCTAGCTAGCTAGCTAGCTAGATAGATAGATAGATAATGAAGTGACTGAGATAAATATGAACAGACTGAGATAGAAGGCTAGCTAGCTAGATAGATAGATAGATAGATAGATAGATATGAACAGACTAAGATAGATAGATAGATAGATAGATAGATAGATAGATAGATAGATAGATATGAACAGACTGAACTAGATAGATAAATAAAATAGATAGATATAAAAATATATATTTTTTAAAATAATTAGTAAATAAAATTTCAGAGTTCAGGCGGAGACGTTAGAAGTCTAGAGTTGAAGTAGACACCAAAAAAAAAAGCCCTTGTATTCAATTAGAGCGTCAGAGAAGCGAGGGTTGCGCTGGAAGATATCTTCCTAGCCACAAGGCACAGATTCGCTCCTTCCATGGATGACAGTGGCTGCTCCAGACATGTAGACAGGTGGCCCACCTAGCTGCGTTTAGTATGTGCACACGTTAGAGAAATGGACGAAGAGTCCATATAAAGGGTGTTCCAATAACTTGGACCGATTTTAAACTTAATTCATATTCAATCAGTCCAAGTTATTGGAACACTTTTTATAAGTGGTCCACCGGGAGGAAGGAAAGAAAAATTTAGTCGGGCATTCTTATGAGACCGTACAACTATAACATTATATGAGAATTATTTACCCTATTTACAACTGTTGTCCTCATCTTTACTGCCATATTCATGACGTTTCAACCCTTGTACAATCCGGCCTTCTTCAGGATCTTTCTATATTTCTGAGTGCACTATTATAACTATTTACATCGTTCGGAATGTTGTCATCATCTTTATTGCCATATTCACGACGTTTCGGCCGTTGTACACTCCGGTCTTCTCCAGAACCTTTCTGTATTTCTGAGATGAGTTATTGTAACTATTCGCACTATTTACATTGTTCGACCTGTTGAACATTATCTGTATTGCCATATTCACGACCGTTGTACGCTCCGATCTTCTTCAGGTGATACACGTTAGAATTTCAAACCGAACCCTCTATTTAGTCCACGGAGGTAAATTGTACTAGTTCCACGTGTCGTGCCTTTTTTGGATATCTCACTATCAGTTATTTTCCCTTTAGTAACTCAACTCTCCAAGTTTTTGATCCCTCTGCTGCAGCCAGGTATTGAACTCACAACTCTTTGAGACAAATCACTTTTTCGATTACTCAACCAACGCATTTATCCAATGGGTGATGTAAATATCAAGTCATCCCATAAGTTCTGTCCGAATTTTGAATAAAGAAAACAAGTGACCAAATGTTACATTTAATTACAGATTCAGTCAACAATGTATTTTCCCTGATTATCTATGACTTCCTTCCATCTATTAACAAGCTTACTAATTCCATTACTGTAAAATTCTTTTGGCTTTGATTCGAAGAACTCACAAATGTCAGTTTTAACCTCTTTCTGTGTTACAAAAGCTGTTTCTTCCAAATGATTCTGTAAGCTACGAAACAAATGGTAGTCTGACGGAGCAAGATCGGGAGAATAAGGTGGATGAGGAATTTTCTCCCAACCAAGTTCTTCGATCTTTTGTGACGTGATTCTTGCTGTGTGGGGTCACGCATTGCCCTGATGAAACATCATCTCTTTTCGATTCACTAGAGCAGATCTTTTTTTCCTCAAAGCTTGGTTCAAACGCTCTAATTGCTGACAGTATATTTCAGCATTAATTGTTGCATTAGGTGGTAAGAATTCAAAGTGGATTATTCCTTGGCGATCACACCAGATTGAAAGAAGAACCTTTTGCCCATGAAGTTCCCTTCTCGGCTGTGGCTGGGGTCCTTCCCCTTTACCAACCCACTGTCTACGACGCTTAACATTTTTCGTCGCCAGTCACAAGTCTATCCAAAAAAGGTGAAACAAGTTGGCGAGAATGGAGAGAAGAGCAGATGTCAACTCGGGATTTGAGGTTGTTTTCCGACAATTCATGAGGCACCCATTTTCCAAATTTAGAAACTTTTCCAAGTTGTTGAAGATGACGATGAACAGTTGTATGGTTTGAACTGAGAACCACTGCCAATTCCTCAACTGATAAAGCAGGATTTTCTTCAAGGACTGCTTCAAGAAGCTTTTCATCAAACTCAACTGGACGTCCGGTTCGATCTTCATCTTCAATGGTGAAACCTCCACCTCTGAATTTTGCAAACCATCTTTTGCAAGTTCTTTCATTCACACATTCCTCTCCATAAACCGAGTGAATGTTTCTAGCCGCTTCGGCTGCTGAGTTTCCTTTCTTGAACTCATAAAGCATTATGTGTCTCAAATGACTCTTGGGTACTTCCATGTTAGCAGGATTTTAATCAAACAAAATTTAATTTTATTGTTCTCTGAAATAATATTTGATCAGTTTAAAGTTATCTAAACATAAAAATAATGTTCAGCTCCATTAGACATTATAAAATACTCTTTAAATTTCTTTCATTTTAAAAAAAGTTAAAATTCGGACAGAACTTATGGGATGACCTGATAATTACAATACAGGGTGCGATGGATAAATTGTCGCTATATTATTATTATTTTCTTTTCTCGCACGGAGTCCTACATGAAGTACCTTGACGATGTAGTGCCGTCCTGGGTAGGAGGTAGTGCTGGAAGACCCTATGTCTGGCAACAGGACTCTGCACCATGCCAGAAATACCACGTTACCCCTTACCCACCTAACTCCCCAGACTGTAACCCCCTTCATTATTATGTGTGGGGCACAGTTGAGCAGGAGACCAACAACTCTCTTAATAAGACCAAAGATGAACTGAATGCAAGGATTATGCCAACATTCTCCAACTTAAACACGGACACCGCCCAAAAGAGTTGCAGGAGATTCCGAAGTCGTCTGGAAGTCGTGGTTGAAGCCAATGGCGATTATATTGAATAAATTTACTCTTTAGTATTTCAAGATATTTTTGTATAATTTTGTTAAATATATCTGTCAGAATGAAATGTCAGTTTTATTTTCGTTTTAGCGTAATTATTTTCTTTTATCTCCTGATCAGACTAGCATTTATTGTGGAGATTATGGCCAATGCAGCCTATCTCTGCGATGTTCTGTCGATATACAACATTGGGTATTTTGTACAATCTATTCTGTACACTCACGCTTCCAAAAGGATTCACTAGGAAGAAGATCTATTGGGAGTGCGTTACTCAGCTGTGGACATAGGACCTGGACCCTGCATAGTATAGCTGATCATCTCAAAAGCAATAATAGCATAATGCGGTATACGAACTAATGGAGAAAAAACAGAGATCAGCTCAGGGAGGGCTGATTTAAAGTTATATATATATATATATATATATATATATATATATATATATATATATATATATATATATATATATAAAGAAAGAACAGTATATATATGTAAATATATATATATATATATATATATATATATATATAGAGAGAGAGAGAGAGAGAGAGAGAGAGAGAGATTAGTTTATGGCGTACCAATGTAGTCGCATGAGCAAACAGGCAAATAATGAATGCATACTTGAATAGAGATTTACACTCACTGGCAAAAACATTCATCTGCACGCTATGCACCCAATGACCCTAGACAGAATTTTAACAGTCAACTGTCTCGCAAACAATTTAGTAATGTCAACAGAAGAATAAATCAGCAAGAAAGAAAGAAAGAAAGAAAGAAAGAAAGAAAGAAAGAAAGAAAGAAAGAAAAACGAAACTAAAAACGAAAAAGGAATTCGTACAAGTTGACGGAGAGCCACAGTGAGAGAAAAAACGAAAGGAATGAACCAATTATATATATATATATATATATATATATATATATATATATATATATATGAAGTGAGATGACGGAATTTTGAGACTGAAGAAAGAAAGAAAGAAAGAAAGAAAGAAAGAAAGAAAATAAGGCCGTGAAAGAAAGGAAGATAGAAAATAAGGCTAAAAGAAAGAAAGAAAGAAAAAAAGAAAATAAGACTGTGAAAGAAAGAAAGAAAGAAAGACAATAAGGCTGTGAAATAAAGAAGGAAAGACAGAAAATAAGGCTGCGAAAGAAAGAAAAAATAAGGTTGTGAAAGAAAGGAAGATAGAAAATAAGACAGAAAGAAAGAAAGAAAATAAGACTGTGAAAGAAAGAAAGAAAGAAAGAAAGAAAGAAAGACAATAAGGTTGTGAAAGAAAGAAGGAAAGACAGAAAATAAGGCTGCGAAAGAATGGAAGAAAATAAGGTTGTGAAAGAAAGAAAGGAAAAAGATAGAAATTCAAAGAAGGCAGAAGGAAAGAAAGAAATAGAGAGAAATAGAAAAAATAATGTTGCAGAGTGAAAGAGAAAAAAATGAACGAATAAAGAAAGAAAGAAAAAGAAAGCAATTCCAAGTAAATTCCCAAGAAATTAAGAGTAAATTCTTGAAAGGAACGTGAATAGATAAGTAAGTGAAAACAGCCGAAAGGATTTGAAAACAGCAACCATTGAACATAAAGACATTTAAAAAGAAAATTAATTGGCTTTTTCAGAGGCCATGTCAATCTGAGAATTTGATAAAGAAGATGCGAGAAGAAAGCCTGAAGCGGATGTTGAAAACTGTTCAGCAAGTGTGATGTACTTTTCGCTTGGAAAGAACCTGGCACGCATCTAACTTGCTTTTCAATATTCTGTCTCTTTTTACGGAGTTAAGTGTCCCGGAATAATTATATTTACTTTTAGCATTTTTCAAGGAATGTTTAAAAACAGAAATAAAAAAAGTCTTTGAAAATTGAAGGTTATACGGATAATTTATTTTGCTGTTTGATTGCACGCGTTTTGTTA